GTAAAACACGGCAGATTGGGACAAACCGCCCACCATCCACATACAAACGGGTTGGTTGGACGATTTTGTTGACAGTTGAAAGTTTCACAGTGTACTGACGCTCTTCCATTCGTTTCACTTGCTATCTGCAATGCAATGGAAGCTGAAATTATATACACTACAGCACAACTCTTTTTTGGAAGAACACTCTGACTTCCATGAGAGTTCATGGAACTTTCATCTTCTTTGATAAATGCGGATCTAAAGTCTTACACGAGCAAGCTGACAAACCCCATGAGTTCAGTTGAATCTGTTTTCACTCGTTCAACCTGCCTCATGACATAGTACACACATTTTGTGCATCGAGACTCGTTACGATGACCTATAGAAGTGGCATGTGGAGGACCTTTCAAAGTCCTACTGCGAAAACCTAAGTACTAGATCATCTATGAGAACGGAACTAATCATAACATCAGCATTGATCGGCTTGAAGCCGCGTACTTGGAAGGAGACCCGCATAATGTTGAGTTTCCTTCATTACGATCAAAGGATACAAACCCCACAATTACGATGCCACACCTGATAACCAACAGTCACGAAAAAAACTTCACTGATATCTGATAATCGGCCTATAGCAACGCGTCCTGGAAGAAGAGCAAGGTACCCAGAACATTTGAATATTTACTGCACTTAGGACATAACATAACGTTTTGTTTCGTCTCGATTTATTTTGTATTTTTATGTCAAAAGCCTAAAACCAAACATTTTCTTACTAATATGCTCATATATGTGTATGTATTTGTTTTTCCGAAAAACCCAAAAAATCAGTGCGAAAATTGTTTCTGTGCAACTGAATTCTATCAGTATGTGTGTGCAGTTTTATTTTTTAATACTATATTTTGTGTTCTTACGCACGTACGAGTGTATTTCGACGTGCGTTTGAAATTTGTTTTTTCTTTTTCAGGATGGCCGTAAACGATATAAACTGACGAAAAATGCGATGAATAGAAAGTTTCATCGTATCTTTTTTCATCGCTTTTGTGTACCAAATGGCCCCTTATATTAGGAAAAGACGACCAGGTGCTGCTGAAAATAGCAAGCTAACATAAGGGTGTTTACCAACGGCTAGCTCGTTTGGTTCAAACTTCTATCTAGTCTCGTCTTAGGGTCTTCAATACCTCACTAGAAGAGAATGAGTTGTAGCGGCAAATAAATCCCCGGAATAAATAGTTTAACAAATCCTCGACGATTGGTGTTGGCGTCATTAGTTTTACTGGATACAACTATCTGAAAGATCTCGGTCACGCACCAGATTACAAGTGGGTACGTCGTGCTACGCATCTTTTACAGCCGTGGACCATTTTAGATTAAACGCCTCCCGATATATCGATATTTTTTCAAATATAGCTTCCAACTCTTCCTTTCTGATTTTTGACTTGACTGGGCTGGTATACATCAATTATAAAGGTGTTACTGAAAAAAGCATTGTCAAACTCCGAATAATTGTGGCATCTTCATCATCTACGACAAAATATGTTACTTTGCGTTCACGAAATTTGTAGGACGGAGCACAATATGTTTAGCGGGATTACAACACTACATTATGCAGACCAGAAGACGTAGGCATTGTTCACACGGTGAATATACTCTCTATAATCCCATAGTTATGTATGACTTGGTTTGCATTGAGTGAAGGTATCGAAAGTCCAATAGCTTAGTACAGAGATATACATAAACACCAAAGCTTCGAAATCGGAGGAAATAGAGCAAGTTATAGGGTTTATCCGGCTGAATTTACAACAGGTAAACAATAAATATATGTAGACATATGATAAAAATGGTTGTCACTTACGTGAATAGTCGATACAGATTCTCTGACGACGTTTGTGAGTAGTTTGCGACAAAATTTGATACGAAACGCTATCAAAAAGGTCACGGATTGTAGATAACAGTCATGAAAATCCTCCAAGAACTTGAGCCTTTTGAATCTAATGCTTTTCAGAGATGATGAAATTTCTAAATATCGGACATAACTACACTCAGAAACCTGAACCACATTTGTTTTGGTGTGGTGAGAAATGAGCAAATATAAACGACCTATAAGAAGTGCGTTTAATTGAAACGGACTGGACTAGAATGGTTCCCTACCTTACATCGAAGTCACATCGCGCGTTTGTACATATGCCTAGGATAGTTGACCTGAAAATAGTGGCCAGAAGTGTCCAATAAAACCGAAGTGATTCGCAAAAGTATCCGATATCTATAAGAATATCTCCCCAAAAAAATTATTTGTCGCCATAGTAGACTGCCTTTCAATAAGAAAAGTGGGGTGATATAATTGAACGGGTAAAGTGATAACTTGGAAGCTTCATGACAAACACAGATTTCTTTCCTCTCTTCAGTCCATATAAAACACCATTTGTAAATCCTTTAAAAACCATATAGTTTAAGACATTGTTCTGCACGTTTACCGAGGTTATATGAATTACCGAAGGTACACAAGCAGAATATCTCAAAGAGACCAATTTTCGGCATACAAAACTCTCGTGATCATACTCCAGCAAAGTGGTTCGTGACCATTTGAAACCCCCTCTATAGACACCTGGTGAAGCATAGCATTATGGATGTACCCCAGTTTGCCGATAACCTCAAGAGCGTAAATAACAAATGACAAATAATGATGTCCTTAGACGAAATACCATTGTCTACAAATGTCAAACTCAGGGAAACTATCAGATATATCTGTGAAAAAAATTAGAGAACAAGAAATAGTGACTACAAATCCTGTGGACACCACGGAGGAATTGTTACTAGTGTGCACCATGGACGTGAACTTCAAATTCAGTTGTGAAATATGTAGACAAATAGGTGGTGTTGTGAATGATTTACCACTAGCTGACATTCTCCCCACTTAGCTGGGAAAAGGACTACTGGACAGGATGTTGGCAGGTTTTTCTCATACTGTCGACACAATAAAGATAAGTTCATCATTTTTAACGACGGATAGAGACATTCAAACAGATTAGTGACATTCAACCGTCATCAGTGAGCAGAGATTATTATCAGAAGGGGTAAAACGTTTCTAGATGATACTCCTGTATGGAGAGTAGGTAGGTGAGTAAAAAAAAACCTTTAACGAGAAAAATACTTGCACTGGACAATATATAATTGTAACTTCGTGGATTGGTTCACAATATAAAAACTGATTAAGACAGTTCATTGTAGAGTCAAGACCCTAATGGTTAAGCGCTCGCGCGCAAAGCCGAAGGTCCTGGGTTCGAGCCACGGGGGGGCCGGGGAAGCGTCCAGTGCTTCCAGGTTTTCAATGGTGGTCTAGCTTCAACTGACTCATGATTTCAATCTGTGAAAATTTTAAAATCCTCAAAAACCCCTTTTAAGATAAGCATTTAGCTGCAAAAAGTGAGCATATGGAAGGCCAGATCGTGAGCAAAACGTCTTACAATTTAGAGGCGATGCACTCAGCGAAATGCTAATGTTAAAGCTGCATAGAGCAATCCAAAGAACTCGTAATCCAAGTAAACTACAGCTTATCTTTCCCACACATTCGATGGTTACTCCGAGATTGTGAGATAACATTATTATCACTGTGAACAATTGGACCGTGTCATTTAAACTTGAACGATCATATCATATTAGACTTCTGAGCTCCATCACGACGTTCGATACAGGAGATCATGAACTGTTATATTCGTGACAGTAATAACTGGAACTCGGAGTTTGTTTAGGTTTCTTAAGAATGTTTAACTGTCATAGTTTGTTTGTTTTGTAAGACCGATAAGCATAGTTGTCCAAACCTATTCCTCTTCCTTATTCAGTATTATTATCAACAGTCACTGTTTATCGACGACTTGCCAAATGTTCAGTCCTATCAACCTTTCAGACGGTTCGAAGGCACAGGTCCGACAGATACCTCTATCACAGAAAACGACTTGAACACAAAGTATGGTCAGTTTACTAGTAATGTGATTCCTACAAATACTAATGTGTGTAACGTTCGTGGCATAAAGCAGTAATGCCTACCGCGCCATAGGTCACTCTTCACAACTAGTATCTGATCACTTTATTTCCTGGGGGACCACTACATTCAGTTTATCAGGTCGTATCGCCTCCCATAACTCAGACGCAGAACCGAACGGGGGCGGCATTTTATTATTCTTCCTACCAAACTTGGAACACACAAACTATCGAAGGAGCATAATCTAACGATGAAAAACGGCAATTACATTAGATCTTTTTACTTAAAGGATAGATCGTCATCTAGCAACGAATTCAAAGAAGAACAACGACCACAAATTTACTTGTAATTAAGTGGAGACCGTACTTAGCTACTTTGGCATCGTTAGGCCTACAAAAGATGCAGTAGTAAATATGTTGAATCATATCTTGTGTTTTTTTCGTCGCCTTAACAAACAGCTTATATGATTTAGCACGAAATTATACTAAGAAGATAGTTCTTTAGAGAAGATATAAGACAGCTCTCACGACGATGCATGTCAACGTCCCCATCATTAAAATCGGTAAGTTGTAAAATTTCCGATCGGGAGCGATAGTCACAGCATCTCTCGCCGAAAATGTATAGAGAAGGCTCAGCTTTTACTCCATTTCCTCAGGTACTGCGAGAATTTATTTCAGATGCTAGTTCTCAAAATATCATTATTTACCAGTGGTTTTACCATTTAGGTTCGAAAGAAATAAAACAAGAACAATGCTTCTACACAATAAGGTAATTCATTTTACCGCTCACAGTCGAATACTGAAGAATAAACTGTTAGCTATTTGTTTCCACCAAAATTTTAGGGTTTTGAAGTACAACCGAATTACTTTCAGTAATTCTCTAAAACAGAACAACGCTATAAAAAGAATACGACAGTATATTCGAAAATAATAAAACGTTGCTGCTTAGTAAAAATTGCAGTTCAAAAATAACTATTTTGTTAAGGTGTACTTCGAATGAACCATTTGTACACGTATTCTGTCAAACGTCACGTCAATATTTTAAAATGTCTTCTGAGACTTCGAAAGAGGTGACAGTCAACAAATGGGATGTTGGTGCGCTAAAAATAGCACTTGATGATGCAGCTAAAGAGGTAACACAGGTTTTAAGCAATATTTCGTAGTTATTCATGAAAAAGCATGGTTTACTCGAGACACACAAACTTTTCGATGGACGACTAATATTATGTACGATATCTGTCCTAATAGCTGGCTTCGGAGTCTTATTCGATTACTTGTACCCACATCCTCATTCCCGAGCAGTACTAATAGTCTGTGTTACACTTTACTTCTTCCTGTCTGCTATAATTACACTGTATGTAATGTATATAGAGAAGAATGTCTTCTTTACTGGACTGAAAGAAGATAAGACGGGATTAGATCCAGCCGACTCATGGACAGTATGCTCATATATGAACAAGTAATATCATTCTTAATCCTCAATTTCGCCCATAGATATGATCCCATATATCATTTAAGCTTAACAGTATGTGACGGCATTACCAAAAAAGTCAAAACGCTCTCCGTCAAAAAGTCCGCTGCGGAGTTCTTCAACATAAAAGGTGAACTACAAAGAAGTATATATGATGGGTTTTTGCAGAACTTGGTATCTGACTTGTATAGTGAAAAGAAAAGTAATTAATCAATAGAATCTCTGTTAACAATTTGTATAATTTCATTTTCTCACTGTTGTATGTTCTGTTCAAAGTCAGATTTATGTGGTGTAAAAACCACACGTTCATACTCTTTCTTACAGTTTTGTGTATTTTAACATAATTTAACACGAGCATTCATAGTACTTCGTTTCGACTTTAGGCGTTTTTATGTTGATGAATATGTCTATGAATCGATCACAATGGCGTCGGTGTATACACTCTCTGTCTTCCCTTAAACTAAGAGATTAAAATCTCTTCATATCTTTCTTTCTTCCTGTACTATGTCATCATATGCAATCTTTCTTTTACATACTGCCATCACTGAATTAACTACTTTTATGAATCCGGTGTCCATCTTGTCGTGTTAATGAGGTATTGCAACTTGGACCGATCCATATATGTGCCTGGTCCTACGCCGTAGCTGACTGACTATTAAATTAGCGGGTGTTGGTTTGAGTCGTGTAAGAGAAAGGTAGATATCTTTTGTGCGTGACTCTTTACAAGTCAGTAATTGGAGGCTGCAAAATATTGAGCAGTGGTCTATACACCCACTCTGGATGTTGTTCCGGACCTATTTGCCTTTCTTAGTCTATGTCAATTATGTATCTTCCGGATTGTATTTTTATGTTGAGATATGTAGCAGCTTGAACTGATGCATTTCCCGCAGTCTACTACAATACATTTCTTTCCATTATTGTAATAGTTCAGTTCTCAGTACTTTTACAGATAGTCCCTTGAAAACGATGTGACCTAATATGTTTTATGACAGGAACACCAAACTGGAATACTAGACGTCTGTAGTATTCCTAGAATGAATCCTGAGATCTCTATCAGTAACTACGTAGCAGTTCTTGAGCCAACTATGCGTTAAGTGGGAGGTCTTGTTTGGGTGTTTAAGACCTTTAAAACTCAACGAATTGGTTAAATATGCCGTGACTAAACCTGGGCTAACGTATCCTGTCCTGTCTAAGTAGGATTTACCTTTTGGTCGGACGGGGACTATCTAGTGGTTAGTTGAACTGTATATTATGCTACTTGTTATTTTCAACTTAATTTCCTAGTCATACCGTCAGTCAGCTACAACGTAGGACAAGGCACATGTATGCACCGGTCCAAGTTACCATACCTCGATAATTAACAGACGCCTAACTAATACTCGTGAACTGCAAAAACGAGAAAATCAAGCTGGCTTCAGACCTGTTCGTGGTTGCATCGACCACATATTCACCATTCGTCAGGTTCTAGAACATAGGCATACTTATCGGCGCCCGACAATGGTGGTCTTTCTTGACTTAAGAGCAGCATTTGACTCCGTAAACCGTGAGATCCTGTGGCAGTGTCTGTCATTGAAAGGCGTACCCCAGAAGTACATAAACCTTATGAAAGCTCTTTACTCGAACACTACAAGTCGAGTCAGAGCTTATGGCGAACTGTCATCTGCTTTTGCAACCTCGAGTGGTGTCCGTCAAGGTTGTCCACTTTCTCCATTTTCGTTTAACTTCATCATAGATCTACTGACGGAAATAATGCTCATCGGTGTTGGAGATGGTTGGAAGAATGTTATGGGCGGCCAAACCAAAACGTGGCTTCAGTGCTTGAAGTCACTAACTTCTAGTCTGAGCCATGTTGGTAGATGCAGTCTACTTGGTTGGGGTCCGCGTGACTATCGTAGCCAATGGTTGGAGACTCTTGGTGACATGGCTCAGAATCGATCACAATGGGGTTGGTGTATACACTCTCTGTCTTCCCTTGAACTAAGAGATTAAATTCACTTCATATCTTTTTTCCTAGGAACTAATTCTGTCATCCTGTACTATGTCCTTGTATGCAATCTTTTATGTATTAGCACCTGTGAATTAACTACTTTTATGAATCCGGTGTTCATCTTATTGTGCTAGTGAGGCATGACAACTTGGACCGATCCATATATGTGCCTGGTCCTACGTTGTAGCTGACTGACTGAACAAGATGAACACCAAATTCATAGCAGTCACTTCAATGGTAGTAATATGTAAAAGAAAGGTTGCATATAAGGATATACTAAAGGGAGAAATAATTAGTTCATAGAAAGAAAGATATCAGGCAATTTTAATCTCACAATTTAAGGGAAGACAAAGAGTGTACACACCGACGCCATTGTGATCGATTCTGAGCCATGTCACCAAGAGTCTCCAACCATTGGTTACGATAGTCACGCGGACCCCAACCAATTAGACTGCATTTACCAACATGGCTCAGACCAGAAGTCAGTGACTTCAAGCATTGATGCCACGTTTTGGTTTGGCCGCCCATAACATTCTTCCAACCATCTCCAACACCGGTTAGCATTGCACGTCGTGGTAGTCGGTGTTCAGGCATACGTAACACGTGGCCCGACCATCTCAGTGGATGAAGATTCACAACCTCATCAACTGATTTACCATCATTCCCTAATACCCTGTGTCTAACCTCACTATTACTTACCCGGTGATCCCAGCAGACGCCAGCAATAAGGCATCTGTGGTCAAATATTAGTAGCTTACGAGTGTCTTCTACTCTTAATGGCCATGTTTCGCTGCCGTAAATTAAAACAGAACGGACTGCCGCGCAGTATGCTCGTCCATCAATTGATAGACGGATATCTCGCCTTCGCCATAGGTGACGTAAGTTGGCAAAAGCCAAGCGAGCTTTTCGAATCCGTGCTGAGATTTCGTCAGACACTAACCTATTAGGGCTGATCAGACTTCCAAGATAAGTGAAGTTATCCACGCGTCCGACTACTTCACTCCCTATCCTTAGTTCAGGTGTTGACTCAGACCAGTCCTGAAGCAGCAGCTTGCATTTAGTGGAAGAGAAGCGCATTCCAAACATTCTGGCATTGTTGCTCATTGCTAACAAAAGACTGCATTTTATCAGTATCTTCACCAAACAGGACTATATCATCTCTAAGTCGATAAGTGGACCTCTTGGAAGATCAATGTCGTTGGACATCGGTCCGACGATTGTTATAAGGTATTTTGAGTTATAATTAAAAATATGCAAACTTCTGCCGAAAAGCTGTATTTTGTTAGACTTTTAAACTTAACAAATATGAATTCGAAGCTAAACTACCGAACTTGTGTTCTATCCAAAATACGCTTATATTTCGGAAGAGTTAAGCAAGAATTAAAGGCTGCATTAATTAGCTCACCCTCGTTATCAAATTAGCGAGTTAGCCTAATTACTATCATTTATCTTTTTTGAATGATGAATCCATATGGATGATTTATGAAATATGAGGTTCATCAAACCAAACATTATCTATAGGGTTATAACGGAGGAAATGTGTGGTCGTTAAATATCCTGCCGATCGGTTGGACTGATTTGAATAATGTGAAGTAATGATAGTTATTCACAGAACCTTAGTTACTAATACAATACCCCAATTAACGAAAGTAAGCAAAATGACAAACATGATTAAAATTTATTTACAACGTCAATGACTTCTTGTAGGTCAATAACAAACCCATGAAATTAAAGTCTGACTATTAGACTTCGTTGTTATCCGTTATGTCGAACAGCCATGAATTAACAGTGAATCTCCGTTTTAGAAGCACTGTGTACCATATAGTGCAAGAAGAAGGATTCGACTCATTTCCTCTACACTGCCGATAAATGATGATAAAATTACTACTAATCATTGAATCAAAATTAACTTGTTTAAGCACGTGTATGCATTGGGAATGACGAAACAGTATACGAAAATATTAGCGCTTTGATAAAGCATACTGATGTTTTAAAACCTCAACAAACAAAACACTGTGTTTTGACGGAATAAACTTTATTAGTCCTTTTCACCAGGATCAAAAGTACACTTTGGCAAGAAATATGTATCAAAATACCAGTATCTTTGAGAAACATCTTTCCACATCTCTTGGTCTGCAACGTCGACAGCAACTGGGTCAAATACACAACTTATTCCCAACCTAGATAAGAAAAATGTATTGTATTAAAATTCCAGCAAACATGAACCAGAAGTGTTCGGATTTACATATAATTGACGTATAGGAAACAGAGATAGAACCATTACGTCATAGTTTACATCAAGATAGCAAGAAAAAGCCGAAAACAGAACCAATAATAGTGGACGATAAATAGGAAAAAGCGACAACAGGGGAAGATATAGTATGTGCAATTGTCTGAGGGAGATTGAAAATTCGTGGATCCATGGTATTTCCAATTTAGTATGGTTATTATAAGTAACCATCCAACGTTTCGTAAATAAGATGGGAAGCCACTGATTTTTGGCAACCCACAGACCTAAGTTACTTACACGCAATGTCATATGACGTACGTATGTCAAGTTGCATTTCTGAAGATATCAACCCTCATTCCTGATAATTTTACTCCTATATCTCAAGGACTGATCAAAACTATTCAATCTATTTGAATCGGACGCAATAAAGTCATTTGTGTATTGCAGAAACTTCTGTAATTTTACTTTCAACATAGATCTAAATGCTATATTAAGGAGGACTATCGATCCTCATTTTGATATTAAGAAAATCAACTGATTAAATACTTCTACCATGACTAATGGACGAATCAGGAGTACATAGATCATCTGAACAGCTCCAGTCTTTCAACTCAACTTAGCTTATCTATTAGGGAGTTAATATTACTCGCTAAAGTTACCAAACCTGAGAAAATAAGAGACGGTCTTTATTTACGCTGTCATCGATAGAAGTAGACACAGGCAACGGGACGTATCTATATATTCCTATAACAGCTTGCTACTGGTCATTACACTTCAAAAGACTATTAAATACCTCTAGAGTGTGAGAACGAACAGTAATCAGGAAAGTGGCTGTATTGTACTTGATGTGTAGTAGTGAGAGTAAATGTGTTTGGTCACTGAGTGTGGACAAACAGAGAAGCAGTTTACTATTAAACATGTGATTCCCTTTTCTCTTATTGGCTTCTACTGTGGGTCCACAGAGTGACTTATTGTAACCATCAGAAATGAAGT